TGTCACAGTTTTGCCTTCATTTACATGTTTTGAGGGGTAACACTCAATTTTACAAATGTTAGTTAAAGATTAAAAAGAGAGAGAGAGAGTTCATTCAATGTATAAGTCTAAAAGGTGATGTTAAGATAATTAAGCATTTAAAGTGGTAAGAAATAAAAATGACTCCGAGAAACTTTGTGAGATTTGCATTGTTACGTTTCGTTTACTTGAGTTGTTAAAATTGTGTATATAGTACGTGACGAAAAAAATCGACAGAAATTATTATTATACTCCATTTTCAATTAACGGTGTGTGATATTGTTAAGACTCAATTGATCTCATAAAATTTGTGATGAAATGTCGATAACAATTATGGATCAAATGAAATATATGATAAAGATGAAATTTGATCAGCTTTTTACCAAATAAGCATTGAGAATCGCGACTCTTTAATAGACACGGTGAATGAAATTCTTGAGTTGAAATTCAAGTACCACGAGAATGGAAATTAAAGTACTTAATAATGCAAAAATTGGAGGCCTTGCAATGCAAATTCCCCAATATACTTGGTGAGAATAAAAATAGAAAACCAAAGGTTGTCATTCATTAGATACCCACTCCTCATTTTCTTGAGAATCTCATTCATCTCCTCCAAACTTTGAATCTGACAGCCTCTCTCTCCCCAAATGTGATGTGAGTGAAAAAGCGTGCAAGAACACAATGCAACTTTACGTTTAAAATAAATAAATAAAAATCAAAGCACCACAAAGTGAAGGTGCTTCAATTTGCAACTTTACGTTTAGAATAGAAAAAATAAAAATAAAAAAAATAAATAATAATCCCACAAAGCGAAGGTGCTTCAATTGCCCTTAAAAAGGGGAAGCACAAACATGCATATAATTTTCCCTTTTCCCCTTTCTCAATTTTGATCCCAACAACACGCATTAACTCTAAAAATCTAATCTTATCTCGTCCAATGCAATGTGTATTGTGACTTGTGACCCACTACTCTACTTTCCTCACACCTTTTCGCTTTACTTTACTTTTTTGCTCTTTAGACTTGGGAAATGGTAAAAGGGAACTTGTACTCTATGTGGTTGGGTTAGGTGCTTAGGTTGGATTTAATTGATGACAGCAATAATAGAGATTATTAAAATATCAGTGAACTCGTATTGAGGAATTCACACATCCGATTGGGATTACGAAATTTCATCATTTTTCACTAAACTAAATGGACCAAATTGAGTCCAAAATGCTAGGAATTTTATTTGAGAAAAGAAATTTCGATATTATACTTTTCTACATCCAGATGCATATACAGTCGAGCATTGTCTATGTTGTTGGTATATTTTCTCTCGATATGTTATATTCAACTAAGAAAATGAATCATGTGAAAATAGAAGTCCTCTTTGACGTTAATATTAATTAATTATGCAACTTTTTAGCATCATACTAGGGATACCGTAGCTTGATTGGATCAATCAAGTTGCTTAAATTATGCAACTTTGTAGCTTGAATGCATAGATATCAAAACAGGTGGGTCTGATCGAATTAACAAACTAGGGGCTTGAGGCCTTGGTTTGAGGATCAGGACTTGAACCAGTCTACACACAAGTCAAGTCAACTTGCGCAACGAAATTTTCCACTAGTGTTTTGATTGGGCTATTATTTTAATAGACACATTATTATGGGACGATTAATAATTAAAAACATATTTGAGAAATGATTATAAACAGTTTAAATCATAAATGAGCAGAAATAAGATATTGATAAATTGATAATGCTTGTGAATCTCTCGAAATGTGTAGATAATTTTTATTTATTTTAAAATGTGTATAATTTGATGACATGAAGAGCACAACATTTTTGCCATAAATCAATTCATTTAAGAACAAGATCAAAATAAATTCTTGCCTAAGCATATAAAAGCTTTGGATACCAAAGCAAACTCACAAGATCTTTACCTAATATTGTATTACGTATTAGATAAGATACAACATGGGTTTGTGAATTTTAATGACTAATACTTTATAACAAGTTGATTAATAATGCAAAACCCATGCCACCCTCCTCGAACTAATCCATATGATGGAACCTTAATTATTAAAATCACTTTGTTTTTGGATACTAATTAACACACTGTTCTATTTGTCTCCTTAATTGCAGCTAATTTGTCTGAACGGAACATTAAATTATAAATTTTACATCAAAATCTTCAGTGCTGCACCGGCAGATATTAGTAATTAGACTGAAAATTACCTAGAAAGAATCACTTATATTATATTACTAATGTTCGCCTTTTGTCTACGTCTTTTTTACGAAGTTAGGCAAGAAAAAAGAATCGTCTTATTTATATTTCAACGTATCGAATATATTTAAGAGGGACGAACGGTAATTTTTTTTTTTTTAAACATATGACGATAATATCGAAGTGTGACAGCGCAGTTGAAGGGGACTGAGTGAGGTGCCTGTTTTCAAGATGCTTTAAAATTGATGTACAAACAAACAAAGCATACAACACACACAAACACACCAAATTATGGTGTCTACATGCTTTTCTCTTACCCAAATTGATGGTATTATTGGAGCATAGACAAGCAAGCATCGGTTTCATACATAAAATTGATACACTCACCGAATTTACTCTATTTTTATAATTTTTATTTTTATTATTATTTATTCTTACTTTGTACTAGTTACATATTTTACTAGAAAGCGACGTAAAAATATATGGTAAATAAAATATGATGAGAGAATTGTTAATGCCTAAAGATTTTATTATAAATAGAAAGTGCTCATTTGATAAGACTTTTAACAAAGTTAAAAATTACTTTTGAATATTTTTTTGTAATTTATGAAAGTGAAATAAAAGTGTCTAAATAGAGAGAAAAAGATGATTCAATATCAAATTTAAAAAAAAAAAAATTGTCGAACAAGGTGAAATGAAATAACTTCGATGACTATTAATTATTTAACCCTAAACTTAAAAAATAAAATAAAAATAATAAAATTGAATAAAACTGTGCTATGAATAAGTGAAAACAACTTGAACCTTTTTTCATCTTTTTATAATTTTTATTGTCTCTAGATTAATTTTCTTTTTCTTGAAAATCAAGAGTTGAATTTTGATTCATAATTAAGTTATGTGTTTACCTAATGTACCATTCTTCTTAAATTAAATAGACCAAAATGCAAATAAATATTAAATATGACTTGACTGTTTTAAAAAAACTTCGAAAATTTATTGGACATTTATGACAAAATTTAGGTATTATTTTGCTTTCAAGTTACAACTAAAAGTTAATAAAATGTTGAAGAAATTCAAACCTGTGCCGTTTGGAAAGGGGTGAGCGTTTCTCATTTATTAATCACAGGAAATTGAAATCTCAGCTGCCACGTCGGGCTGGCTAACCTATTTTCTACGTTTGACTCCTCATGGCCCCATCCCTTTCCCACGTGCCAAGCTGGAATCTTCCTGGCACTTGAGTCTTGGCCACGTATTCCCATACAAGTAAGGAAGGACCCTTATTTTGTGTAAATTTAATACAATAAAAACATAATAATAATAAAAAAAATCTATATATTATTATACTTTATACATAAATTTTCCACATTTCCCTCAAAATATGAGCGTGTACCGAAGTGTCACGGTTATATTGCTATTGTCATACTTTCATTGACGATAAATAATGCTATAACTGTAGTAATTATTTTCGCCAATCATCAAATATCAAGAATCCAAAAAACTTAATATAGAGTAAGATTAATCCAATACAATTTAAATAAAAGAAGTCGAAATTTTGTTGCATTGTAGGTCTTAAAACTATTGTCAGAAAAAAGGTGGTCATCGCCCTTTCATAGAATTCCATCTTTTGACTTAGGTTTTATTTTCAACTTGTTCAATACCTAAAATAATAATGCTATTTATAGTCGTTCACTACAGCAGTCGCCTTACGTGACATACACATGGCATGTGATTATTTGATACATTAATTAATAAAAAAACTAGCACATTAATGTATCAAATAATCACCTGTCATATGTATGTCACGTAGGACGACTGTTGCAGTGAACGACTACGAATAGCATTACTCTACCTAAAAACTTGAAGTGAAACGTGTTCTATGTGAGCTTTGTAATATTTCTACAAGAATTAGCCATGTGTCGTTTGGAAAAAATTTAATTTTTGTTTAATTAATTTTGATTAAAGTTAGTGAAATATATGATTGAAAAATTGATGAGCTTAGTGTTCTCGTAAAATGAAAAAGGAAAAACGAATTTTCAATCAAACATGAGTTGAGTAAAATTCAAAAACCAACCTATTTTCTCCTAAAGTTAAGAACTGACTTGCTATTGGAGCAATAGCTTGAGACCATTATGGCTAATATATATATTTACATCCACCATAAAAAAATTCCGTAAATATTTGCTTGTTATCAAATTTATATCCCAACTTTTTAATGGCATTTTTATTCTCATATTGACACAATTTGTTCGTGACGACGATATCTGTCCAAAAATTTTGCTAAAATTGAACAAAAAGACATATTTAGTTCTTGTATTTTTAAATAAGTCAAACAATACAAAATAAAGAATAAATATTTTTCCTTTATTTTTAAATACACTGAAAACATTTTTTGACCAAAAAAAAATGCTAATTAATTAATGAAAGATTAAAAATAATAATATGTTGTGGAAAATTTAAAAAATATATAAATATGAAAATGAATAAAGTCTAACAATCTTAAATGAAATTGAAATGTAGTCTATTTTGGAAAAGGATGGCGTGAATATAAGCTTATTACTTACTGAAAGATAAGACAAAACTCTGTATCATTCCGAAATAGCCCCTGCAGTTCAGCTGAAACGATCCACATCGTATTCCATAGTAACTCAAAAATAAGGGCCTTTCTGGTAACTAACCCAACCCACCCCACGCACCGAACAAACCAAACAAACAAATTTCACAATCTTTCTTACTCCCTTTATATACTGCACGGCAAAACCAACATCTATTTATTAACTTTATTTTTTCTGCATTGCATGGCCTTTTGTTCATTTCCTCCCGTCTTATTGTTCTTTTCTCCACCTTTCACTCACCGTTCATAACCCTCTCTCTATCCACAAACCAAAATAACCAAACACATAGACGGAGAGATAAAGCTCCGCACGCATATAGTGTGATTTGACAAAGAGATCCAAGAAATTACGTAGATACTAATGGCTGTTGAATCTCGCCATCTCAATCTATTTCCTCCACAGATTCTCAGCAATAGGTATGTTTTCATTCTTGATTTTCAGTTTTCAAGTCTGTCGAATCATTGATTGATGTGAAATTTACAGGATTGGATATGAATTTATGTTTTCGAATGAATGCAGTGAAACGGTGATGAATAGTATGGAAGGCATTGGCAATGTAAATATGTATGGAACTCCTTTTGGATATGGAGCCGTGACGCCACTATTGGGGACAAAGACGGCGACGGATAATATTATGCCGATGTTCAATTCGGCGATTACAGATTCTATTCCGGCGAAGACAGCTCCGATGAAATCCGAGAGTGGTCTCAGTTATGCTGTTCCGGTATCGAGAAAGCGATCGAGTGATGCAATGAATCCTCTTCTTTCTTCATTTCCTGGCGTTCAGAATCAGAATGCAAATTACCGTTGCGGTTCTTTCACTTTTCTCGGCGAAGATATTTCGATTCAGATCCAACAACAACAATTAGAAATCGATCGCTTCATTGCTCATCAGGTAAGATGTTTAATATCGCGATGTATTTTTTCCTATCGTAATCTGTTCCGTTACATATTATACAAATTTGCGATTAACTCGATCATTTGTAACAGACTGAGAAAGTAAGGATGGAAATGGAAGATAGACGAAAGAGATATTCGCGGAGGATCGTGGCAGCTGTTGAAGGCAACATAATGAAGAAACTGAAAGCAAAAGAAGATGAAATTGAAAAAATTGGAAAATTAAACTGGGCCTTGGAGGGGAGAGTGAAGTCCCTGTGCGTAGAGAATCAGATATGGAGAGATTTGGCACAAACAAATGAAGCCACAGTAAACACTTTGAGATGCAATCTCGAGCAAGTTCTAGCTCAAGTCCAAGGCGATCGAAACCAGCGCCACCGCGCCGACGAGGAATTAGCCAACGACGCTCAATCGTGCTGCGGCAGCAACTTCGAAGAAATCGAGCGGCAAACATTAGCAGAGTGCACAGAAACCAATGCGCACTGCACCAATTGCAATAATAACGGGTGTAATTGTACTGGCAATAGTGGGGACAATAGAGGATGGAAGAGCTGCAGTTACAGTAATAGTAACAGGAACAGATTGTGCAGGAGCTGTGGAAAAGTGGAGTCATCTGTGTTGCTTTTGCCTTGCAGACATCTCTGCCTCTGTACTTTTTGCGGGTCATCTCTCAGTACTTGTCCCATCTGTAACTCCATCAAAACCGCTAGTCTTAATGTAGACATGTCCTCTTGAAATTCTGTTAATCCCTTCATAAATCGAAAAAAAATCATCGAAGTTGCATAAATTCTTGTTAATTGAACCTTGTTAATTATCACTTCGATTAGTAGTATTACTGAACGTTGAGTTGTGTTGTTTGTGGGTACATGGCCGGCGCATGTTAGCGGGTCGTGGATGGGACGTGGAACAGCGCGGTGATATGCGCGCAAATGTCGCTGTTGTTTGCACAGAAACACCAACCTCGTGTGTTGTGCCAAACTGCATAAATTCATTGCACGGCAGAGGAGAGGGAGTGTGTGCCGACACGCGATGTGGTGGTTTGTAGAGTCCCACCAAAAAAGAGGACAAAAGTACGGAAAATCTATGCCTTATTTTCTGCCCCCTTTTGCGTATATATAATAGACGGTGCCCTTATTACGATGTTATTTTACAATCGCTTATTATCGTATTCGTCTACATAACATACATATAATTATTGATAATTTAATACATAAAGTAATAAAAAATTATCGTATTAATGCATCAAATCATTAATCCTCATATATATATCACATAAGATTACTATAATATGGAGGGACCGTAAATAACATTGAGTGTTTCAAGAAAAGAAAGTCAGTTATAAAATTAGGAGTTCGTTAGCTCGGTCAGGTATGGTGGGCGTGTAGGTTTACCTAGCCCTGTTTAGTCCTCATCCTATTTAATTTTTTTTCTCAAGTTTTTTTAAGGATTAAATTCATCTATGACCACCTAATTTCATACTTAAACATTACATTGATCACTTCATTTGATTTTATTTCATAATGATCACCCAATTTCATACTTAGTATAACATTGATCACCCACTTTGATTTAATTTTACCATGGTTATCCAATTTCATACATAATTCCAATTAAGCCACCCGATAACTTTATTTAACACAATCAAATTGGATGGTCTATGCGACACTGAGGATGAAATTGGGTGACTATAATGAAACAAAATCAAATTGGAAGGCCAATATGAGTTGGGTTGCCATTGGTAGATTTAGTTTCTAATTTTCAATCATGTATTGTACCTTTGTTTAATCCTCATTATTTTCAAAATACATTTTTCTCTCTTTTTTGAATCATATATTGTTCAATGTAATAATATTACACGCAAATTCAAACTTTTTCTTAATTTTAACTACACATTATTCATCAATTTACTATTTTAAAATATATTTTTAGCCAAATAATGGGGTTCAAATAAGGGCTGTATGAGATTTATAATTTTTTTTATTAACTTTTAAATTTAAATTTTATCAATTTTTATTAAAATCTATTAAAAATTTGAATTAAATTAGGTGGGACTTCAATTATAAGCATATTGCTTACCACCGAGTATTGGACGATACAAGATATATCCCTTGTTTAAGCCCCATTTTTTCTAAAAAAAAAAAATGTATTTTTAAATAATATTTTGACATCATTTCAACCACATATTTTTTAATAAAATAATATTACATGTAAATTAAAAAAAAAATTTATTTTTTAACTACACATTTTTCATCAGTACACTATTTAAAAATTCATTTTCTCAAGTTTTCCAAACTGTTTGACAAGAGGACGTGTTCATTATAAATATTGAATAATTAATGCATGTTTATTATAAAATTAACTAATATAATTGCCTATAGTCACTCGACAACTTTAGTCCTTGAACAGTTGAGTTTGATTCCAAAATACAACGCCATTACAATTTACAACAATATCTTTATATTTTATAAATTATAAGCTATATTATTGTAACCGACGGCGGTGAGGCGGTGGCTAAGAGTTGGGAGTGGTTGAGATGGTGTGGCTTTAAACAAGGGCGCGTACCAAGGTTGTTTAGTGGGGCCGGCAACATTATCTATAGCCATTGTCCAAACGGGAAGACAGAATACCAGGATTAGACTACATATAATAATGGCGTTTGATGATGTTGTTACATTCGGTGAGAAAAGAATAATGCCACTCATACAATTTTTTATTTTTATTTTTTACAAATTATTTGATAGATGTTAAGATAAAATCAAGAAGCAAATGCACACACCTTAGAATATATCAAGAAATGTGTAAAAACATTTTTGTATAGGTAGCTTAATCGGTGAGAAAATAGATAATTTGTTGTATGCTATTTTTATATGAATAAATGCTATATAATATCAATTGTGTTGAATATCAATTTAGGTGACAGTATGTTATATGTTCTATTAAATGATCTATAATTCCTTATATTTAATTGAATATATAATTGAATATCATTAATATAATAATATTGGTGCTAAATTACATTACACTTTTTTATAATGTGGGGGTGGTCCAGATTCCATCTGCTGAATTTTGTGAAAAGTCATCTTTAACAGTGATCAAATCGGATGGTGGAGAGAAATTCGTGAGGAATTGGACATGTTGGATTTGGTTAAATCTTGTACTGTCAATCAATAAAATTATGTTTCAATGTACTATTAGTAAATCGGTTCACGAGTGAACCTATCTAAGAGATTTATGTTTCAATGTTTTAAAATTATGGACATTTATCGAATTATTCAATTGGAAAATCAGCGAATTTTGTAATTCGAATAGTTTTTGTAGATGGAATCACAATTGACATTCGTGACTTATTCAATTGGAGAAACGATGAATTACAATTTAGTTTGGATAGTCTTAGTGTATTGATACACGGTTGAACCCACCAGAAATGGTTGCAAATAATTGAACGTAATTAAAATCGAGTTGTTTATATATTGGTTTGATATTTGGTTGGATTTCCATTAAAACGCCTACTTTAGTTGAAGAGTTCAAAATTTAAGTTTCAAATTTGTTTTATATATTTAATTTAATTGTAAATTACTAATTCGTCCAATAATTCTCCTAATAAATTAGTAGTTGAGTGATTTAGTATTGCATTCCCGAATGAGAGGCCTTCTAGTGGGGTATCTTTTTCATCAATCGCCGCCCCACATTATCAAATCAAATTTAATTATCGAGTAAGAATGGATTATGGACCTATGATTTGTCCAACCCGCCACCCTATTTCATATTGGGAATAGTCCAATTTTCATAATTATAATTCTAAATTAAATGAAACGAACCCAACATTCAGAGGTGGGCCCCCCAAGTTTAGCATTGAATAAGGAGGTAAAAAAACACAGGACAACACAAACATAATTGTGTGAGATTTGTTGTATTAAAGATTCCCTTTTGTATCGATGGGCCCCACGCCATTTGGACCATGTGTTCCTTTCTTCCTTTCACAAATATCCCGCCTGAAAATATGACTGAAAAATATTTTTCACTAAACTTTAAAACTTTTTAAATGAAATGATCGTCAAGTGTTGAAATGCATAAAATATTTTAATTCGTATAACACCAATGTTAGGAAGAGAAAAAATTATTCAAAATTTTATATTTTTTAAATTTTAGTAACGAATACACTTACAAATGCAGAATTAGTTCTTAGCACATCGTAAATAATATCTACAATTACGAGAACGTTCTTTCTCGTGCACGTGTTGTATGTTGTTAAATATTGGTAATAAATTGCCTTTAGGCCTAGTATAGACAAAATGGTTGATTAAACATTCCTGATAATCCAATCTTGATTAGATTTCTTCACTTACAATCACTAATTTGGTGCATGCATTTGAATGAATTTTCAGGTATAGTGTCTAGGATTGATTTATGGAGTCACGATCATGAGTCATGGCATTTCACTTTCCACTTTCTATTTAGCGATGTTTAGACTTTTTACATTTTTCGACTTTATATTTGTTGAAAATAAATTCAATTTACACATTGATTGATGACAACATGTGTGATAATTTTTTGTGAGATTAGTTAATTAGGATCGTGCTAATTGAACTCTTGCCATCTGCCAGAGCTTGAAGAATTCTCAAGGGGCCGGCTTATTCAGGTCCAATACATTGTTAAGGTGTTATCCTACCAAGTTTCGATTTAATTAAAGTATGGTAAAAAAGTTCCATCCCATGTCTCCCTCCTTATTTACTAACGGAAAAACATGTATGAAATTATCTAACCCTAAGTTCTTGCTACGGTCACCTTCCTATAGAATCACATAAAGTTACATAAATCTAATACATAGTGTGTGCATGTGTGTTACATGTATATGTTACTACTAAAGTCATAAATTCATAGACTAAATTACTAATGCAAATATATACAAAGATTTATACGGTAAATGTGAATGAATTTTACAATGATGATCAATCTAATACAATTAACTAAACACGTATCATTATGCACAGAACAAGCATTCTAATCGTAACCACAAAGAAAGTGGCACTTGACCCAATGGCATATTGTTAGGGAGGGCACAAAGTAAAGCTTTAAGTATCTAGGCCCATGCCATGGTTGTTCTTTTGTTATCTTTTCAACGTGTTTGGTTCAAGGTATGTAAAGTGATGGAAATGTGTCTCCTCACAAAATTTTTTCACTTTTGCTGTATAAATACTTATGCCAATTTTGAGCTAAGGTGGGGTTGGTTTTGGAAGCATAAAATAAGAATCCAATCAAAGAGGCATGGAAGCCGTAGTGGGTACCCCATCTATCTATCCTTGTTTTTAATTTTGGGGGGGG